TTGGGGTGGATTTATCAATTTCTTCAACACCTCTGTTCTCAACTTCATAGTTTCATATTAAGAACTCTTGCCCTAATCAAAGGGTCCTAACCCCAAAGGTTATTAAAGCATTATCTTTGATACATCTTAGCACCTTGAACAGGCTTATACTCCATGTTTGGATGTTTAAGACCTAGAGAGACCAAAACTGTCAAAGGGGCAATTGACTAACAGTGACTAACAATGATTGTCACTGCTACTTCCCACAAGTCTAGAAGGAGGAACTCATGTCTGTTTTAGCCGCCATTTTATATCCACAGCTCAGTCAGCTGGGACATAAAGGTGTTGAAAATTTGTTACCCTGAAATAACAATAACAATGCTTTGGTCGGGTAAACTGCAGGAATCATTAAAGCTTTCAGAAAAAGAAATGATCAGGTTTTGAGAATATAATTTTCAAACTGGGGGAGAGGTGTGAAAATCTGAGTGATGGGGACCATGTTTTTGAGGATTTTAAAAGTGGGACCTACCCCAGGGCTGACCTGTGATCTTGTGTTTTCTGGTGCCTGCTCACCTCACCCTGTGGGTCCAAGAACCTTTCCTTCCCTTGAATTAAATGTCTCTGCCACGTTGACTTGTTTTGTTTTTAATCATTCAGTGCATACTGTCCGACATGTCCTGATCCCCATGCAACGGATGGGGCCAGGAGCCAGTCCTGGTCACGGGCTGAGCAGAAGCGACACGGTCACTGCAGCCCAACCTGACTAGTATAATCAGCAGCGTTAGCAATGCACTAGGTAGAAGCTTCACAGCACAACTGGCGCTTATAAAATGCTGCAAGAATAAAAGCACAGGCGGGAAAGCACAATAATTCTAAATACACCAAACATCAACTTGCATATCCTTTAAAAAAAAATAGAAGGCTTTCTTTCACCTTAAAGTTACCCTCTGGGCCTGGTAGAGCCCAGGGGACCATTACTGAAAACACACAGTCTGAACCATGCCTGTCACTGTGCTGTCGGGCTGGTATTTGGGGCTCTTTGTTGTGACGGTTCACTGCCCTTTCTCTGTGTGTTTTGCTGAAATGAAACTCATTTGCATTTCCTGAGCAGCCCAGTGATAAGAGGCCCAGAAATCTTGCTGGAGCACAGAGGGGAATCAGAATGAAATGTTTACCAGCAGTACCGCCAGGCCTCTGGGGCCAAGTTTTCCAGCCGTTGTTGAGGATGATGCAGGACTCGCTGGGAGTGTGGTGTTCAATTCGAACTTCTTAAGGCTGCTTCTCTTCCCCCGACTGGGCAAAGTATTCACTTGTGCAAGGGTGGAGTGGAGGTGATGATTTCAACCCAGCTCTCTGCAGAGACATGATTGTGGTTTACCATCTATAAGTGGTGACAGGTCTTGATTTCTCAGGGCTTCTGGTTTTTCACTCTCACCTTCAAATGAAGGGCAGGCCCCGTGCCAGGCACTCCCATCTGCCCACCCAGCGGGCAAGGGCTTTGTGGGCTGTCCCCAGAGAACAGAGAGGGCTTTGGTCTCTTCTGTTATAAAGACATGTACCAGGATGAACGAGCAAGGCCACTGAAATTCTTGAGATCTAGTGAGTCTGTAGGAAATGTAAAGGCAGCTATTTTTACTCTCATGCTCTCCAGCCACTCTGACTGCCTTGCTGGAAGGATAATAATCACTCCACCTGCCAGGGCCCTCACGCGGGCTGGCCACAGGATCCAACTTTCGGTTTTCATTCGCCTTCATTTTCTAACAGCTTCCGCCCACTCCCTGGGTTAACTTCATACTCTATGGGCCCGTCTTGCTTTTTTGCTCAGCTCATCTCCTCCAGCTGCTGTAATTTGAAGCAGGATCCATACAGACTGTTCTTTCAAGCAATTCTGTCTTGCATAACTATCCTTCAGAAAGAGATAGGAAAGCCACGTGTTTTAAGAATAAAGCAGGGCCAGGTACTGTGTAATCCCAGCACTTTGACAGTGTTGTAATCTCAAAGTGCTCACGCCTGTAATCCCAGCACTTTGAGAGGCTGAGAAAGGCGAATCACCTGAGGTCAGGAGTTCGAGATCAGCCTGACCAATATGGAGAAACCCTGTCTCTACTAAAAATACAAAATTAACTGGCATGGTGGTGCGTGCCTATAATTCCAGCTGCTTGGGAGGCTGAGGTAGGAGAAACACTTGAACCCAGAAGGCAGAGGTTGTGGTGAGCTGAAATTGCACCATTGCACTCCAGCCTGACAAGAATGAAACTCCATCTCAACAACAACAACAACAACAAAAAAAAAAAAAAAAAAGGAAAGGAAGGATTCTGAGAGAAAAAGAAAGGACAAAATGGTCCCACATGGTCCCACAGAACAGCTCCTTCCAGGAAGCCAGTCAAAGAGTAACCATCCTGGGTTGTATCTGTTCTCCTCCCACGCACCGTAAATGAGATTTTGGTAGAAGATAGCCTTAATTATCCCAAGCAATGACAACCATGAAGGGGCTGAATGCCATCACTAGAATCTCATCACTGGCCTGTGAGCGGTGAGGCTGCCTCGCTCCGCGGAGCAGTTTTAAAACACTTCGGAGACATCAATCTTTGCATTGCACCTTCATCTCAGGATGTCAAGTGCATAGTGAGGATTACACCACTCGTCTTTTGCTGAAGGAAACTGAGGTAGCAGAGATACAGGCTGTAGGAGCTAGCGCATGGTTACTGTTTTCTTCTGCCTCTCTCTCTCAGGGATTCTGATTGTGCTGTGTCACCCAGGCAGACTTCTTCTCATCTCTAATCTCTCTTCTGGTGCAGATGAAAGGTGACCCAAAAGGCTGGGACCAGAATAAAGACCTCACAAAGTATCACTGCATCTATGTCATCTCTGACTAGTGACAGTGAAAATAATGTTAAATCACCCCGAGTGGTTCTGTTTTTTGTTTGGCTTTTTTTTTTGAGACAGGGTTTTTGTCATCCAGGCTGGAGTGCAGTGGCATGATTTTGATTCACTGCAACCTCTTCCTCCTGGGATCCAGTGATACTCCCACCTCAGCCTCCAGAGTAGTTGGCACTACAGGTGTGTGCCACCATGTCCAGCTAATTTTTGTATTTTTTGTAGATAGGGTTTCACCATGTTGCCCAGGCTAGTCTCAAAGCCCTCCTGAAGTGCTGGGATTACAGGTGTGAGCCACTGCACCCAGCCCAAAATGGTTCCTTAAAACACGCAGAAACATCATCCCTGGTTGTGGGGAGAGAAGTCTGAAAGGAAATAAGCTAACTACACTCTTCAAAATACAAAAGTTACCTCCTCCATCTCAAATGAAAGGAAAAAGCTGTTTGCAGATGACTGACCAGAAAAGGACATGATCTGACTAACAGAAAACTGTACGATAAAACCATCTTACTGGAAACCCTCAGAAACTCTTCTAAGCACCTTATATTTGAAAAAATTTAATCGGCCAAGCACAGTGGCTCATGCCTGTAACCCCAACACTTGGGGAGGCTGAGGCAGGTGGATCACCTGAGGTCAGGAGTTCAAGACCAGCCTGGCCAACATGGTGAAATCCTGTATCTACTAAAAAAAATATAAAAATCAGCGGGGTGTGGTGGTGGGTTGCCTGTAATCCCAGCTACTCGGGAGGCTAAGGCAGGAAAATTGCTTGAACTCAGGAGGCGGAGGTTGCAGTGAGCTGAAATTGCGCCATTGCATTCCAGCAATTTGCTGTTGTGACAAGAGCAAGACTCCATCTTAAAAAAAACAAGAAATTTTAATCTATTAATTTTTTACACTCTAGCAATTTGTTCTTGCGACAAGAGCAAGACTGTCTTCAAAAAAATTTTTTTTTTAATCTATTAATTTTATGGCTCTAATAAGGTTTTTAAAAATCTTATTAATTTTATGACTAACCTTCGTAAGATCTTACTATAGATCTTACGAAGGTTAGCAATGAGATGAAACTTGAAGGTAACTAGTTCGAATTCATCATTCAACTGAGAGGAATGACATCTAGAGAGAGGTTAAATGACTTATCCAAAGTCACTGGGTCAGTGAGTAGTAGATATGACATGTGAATGCAGGTCTTTAGATCCCGTCACACCAGGCTACAATCTGCAGGGATGCCATAAAAGATGTGGATTAAACACGTTTGCAAATGGGCCGTCCTAAGGTAAAGCGTTTCCACATAGAGGAATCACGCTGAGGGGTGAGGAGCTGCAAATGCAAATAACGGTTCTCCTGAGCCTCCCAGGCTCTACTCTTTGTGTGTGCTCCCTTCCTTCTCTGGATTCCACTTCTTAAGGAAGGATAGTTCTCTTGATTTCAGGAGGGACCTTCTCTAGCCATCTTTACCCAGTTTTTGTTTCTTACTAGGGCCTTACAGCTACCTTTTAAAAAGCCACTTAGACAATTGTACAGGACAGAAATAATACTAAAGAATTAGAGGACAACCCTCCAAGCTTTTTGGTGAGAACCAGCTTTTCATCTCTCCAGTGTCTTAAAGATCCCAGGAAGGGGATCCTGACTGGCCTGGGAAACAGGGAGAACATGACATGTCTCCCTGTTGAGATCCTCTAGGTGAACCCCTGACAAGGAGCAAGGGTTAGGAGGCACAGGGGAAGGTATGAAGATGTGCTTGCTAAGGACCTCTGTGCTTTAGAAAGAACTTCACTTACTGTGGCTTTAATTTATCTCAGTATAATAATTATAGTAGCTTTGTCACTTAAAAGTTCTATTTGTGAAAGTGTCAATCAGATGGAAGAAATCACTGGACTGTCTTCACCTCTCACTCCTCCCAACCTGCCCAGTATAAACCTCCAAGGCTCCATAAAACAGGAGACTACACACTTGCCATAAAACTGCTCATATTTCCTTTCAAGTTCACACCAGTGAAAATCTGAGCAATGAATTTCCACATGTTCATTGTCCAATTCCAATATTCCCAAATAAATTAGTACCTATGTTTAATATTTAATCAGTTCAAATATTTATTCCAGGTTTCACTCAGTATTTTTAAGCAGTTATAAAGCAAAAAGGCCAAATAGGTTTCAAGTAAGTGACTTTTATTTTTTTCTGAGATTTCACAGTCGATTTCTACAAAACTTCATACTTTCTCAAAAGAATTCACATTTGCTAAATAAATTGCTACCCTAAGGAATTCATAGCTCAAAAACCACTTCAATATATGCGCAAAGGTGACTTTTCTGCTAAAGGAACCATAGTAGAAAAGAAAAAGACAATACTATAATCAATAAAAACCAATGAGTGTAATAAATTACAAATGTCATTAAATTCCATTCCCATAACTATTGCAATCAGCAACTTTTCTAGATGTATTTCAATAATGCCAACAAAATCTGCCAAGATTTCTCTTAAGGGTTGCTCTGAGCTAAAAATGGCTTCTCACCTTTAGAAATCAGCAACTCTGCCACAGTACTTCATAGCCAATTATGTTATGCATCGCTAGAACCATCACTACTACTTACAGCCTTGGGCAACCGATGGAGATCTTTCTGGTCACCTCCGAATTTCCTCCATTTGCTGATCTGGCTTCTGGCCCCAACTGTCTGCTGGCCCCAGTGGATCTCTCCTTCCAAGATCTATCTTCTCTACTTGGATTCATCTGCTTATAGCTCCAATAGGGAACAAACACCCATGGTAACAGCCTGGAGAGACTTCTAGCACCAAGTTACAAGATTAGAGAAGAGCTGGGGGTGGTGCTGCTTCTCCCTGCCACTCAGCAGTGAGGATCGATAATGGCTTTCATCATCTTTTACTGAAACAGGAAAGGAAATGCAAGCCTTAATCTAGGAAAAAGAGTCCAAGAGGCTTATAGCTGCACAGAGGGTTTTTCCAATGGAATAAATTTGGTTCTCAGCAAGTGTTTTCAGATTTTTGACACTCAGTAAGACTCATGACTGGTGCCCAGGCTGTTCTGAATGCACCTGTCTCTATAGCTTTGCTGCCAAACATATTCTGCCAAAAAGGAAGCTTCCTAGCATGGTGCACAGAATAGAGCTGCTATAGTACCACACAGATTCAGGGGAGGCAAAGAGAGTGGGCCAAGAAAAAAATATTAAAAGGAGTTGAGTCTGCCTAAAGACACATTTGCTCTGATTTCTGAAATTCTTTCAGAAAGCAAATAGCAGATAATAATTCTGCATTGATGAGGGGAGTCTAGGGATGTTACCAAGTTGTGTACTTCAAAATCAGTCATATCTAAATCACGTTTGTATACAAAGTATAGGCAATCTGAAGCCACATATCTTTAAAACTCTGCTAGAGTTACAACTACCTAGGAAATATGATCTTTAACTTCTGGCCTTGATAAAACTTTTCTTTGCAGGAAAGGTGAAGCTGGGCCAAGCGTGGTGGCTCAGGCCTGTAATCCCAGCACTTTGGGAGGCTGAGGTGAGTGGATCACCTGAGGTCAGGAGTTCAATATCAGCCTGGCCAATGTGGTGAAACCCCCTCTCTACTAAAAATACAAAAATTACCTGGGCGTGGTGATGGGTGCCTGTAATCCCAGCTACTTAGGAGGCTGAGGCAGGAGAATTGTTTGAACTTGGGAGGCAGAGGCTGCAGTGAGCCAAGATCCCACCATTGCACTCCAGCCCTGGGCAACAAGAGCGAAACTCTGTCTCAAAAAAAAAGAAAAGATGAAGCTGATCATACAGAACTTCTTAAGATGATTTTGTAAAACACAAAGGTTTTCAAGAGGATGAAATTTTAAAATGAGAGAGTATTTTGAAACTTTACTACTTAGAAACATAGTTGCCTATATAATAAAGCTGAAAAGAACGTGTATCATCTGGAAACTCTGGTCATGTTCTCCATTTTGAGATGAACTTCATATAATCAATGTTACACTTTTGGCTTTGTTGCCAACATCTAACACATGAAGGAAACACAGAAGATGCTGCTCCGTAACTGCTTCCCATCACTATACATGGAACAAGTGAAAACTTGGGATGTGAAAAGAAAAACCATTTTCTTTTCACATCGCTTTCTAATTTTTGTGAACTTATTATCATACCCTTAAGACAACTGTATTTAATTCAAAGTTTATCAAGCATAATAACTTCTTTTATCAAAATAAATGGGACAAAAAACAAGGTGGCAACAGAGTTAATTTATCCAATATCCCCAGGAACCACTGAAACTATCCTTAAGATTTTTGGACATAAAACAGGTAACACTGTTTCAAAAGAAGAGAGAAAAAAAGCACAAGTTACCAGAATTGTCCAGCTCCTGACCATGAGATATGTGGGCCATGTCTATTTCCTTCAGTTTCTAAGTCAAAAAAGCAATTCACTGACTATAATTCCAGATGGTACTGCATCCATTCCATACCTTAAAATTTGGAAGTATTTTTCTTTGCCTGCTAGTTTAAGAGAAATCTGACTTGTAATGAAAGTGTAGAAGTCAGATGGTACTACCCTTTCCCTTGACTTTCAAGTTTAAGGAAACAAAAGTGTTGAGTAAGTGCTTGCAACAAGCTACAACCTGTGCCCAGGGCATTTTAGGTCTCACCCAACTAGCACAATGCCTTGTGGAATGCAAACATACCCCCTATTTCTCTCCATGATTAAGACAGGCAAAGGAAGAGCCATGAAGGTTTCCTTGTGTCACCTACTCCCTGACTCAACAGGCGTCGTCTGTATCCTCATTTGTGTTACTGCACCCTTGATCCTGGTTAGTGAGTGGGACAGTGGGAGGTGTCAGCAGGAAGAGCCCCATAAACAATCATCTCCTGCTCTGCCCCATGATCCATTGAAGCACCTTCAGGCTAAGGAAAAGGGGCTCAAGGGCACTCCGAAACTGAGGTCCTCAGTGGAACGGGGACATATGTATCCTGTGCCCAGACCACAAGTTAAGACAGCAGCCAGGTATTGGCATGTGGCTTCCTAAGTGAACCACAACACAGTTTAAGTTTAGAAGGAAAAGCTCTTACATAAGTTTTGGGAAACAGGAGTAGGTAACAGCAAACGAGCTAAAAGAACCACTCAAGTAACAGGAAAATGTGCCTCTGTGCTATATGTCTGGGTGATGAGAGAATGCTTCTAGGTCACTGCCTGCATTGCTGGACCCAGGTGTTAAAGATGCCTGCAGCTTGGCCCAAGCCTGAGGAGCCCTGCTTTTGATGGCCTCTATAAACAGCTGGGTTTGCTCCTTTAGCTGGTCTAGCTCTACCTGAGTTGCCTGGTTCTGACGAATCAACTCCTTTGTTTTCAAAGTGATCTCCAGCAAACCAGATTTGTGTAGGACTACTAGGGTATTCTGAAAGCGCCTATGTTTGCTCTGCCGCTGCTCTGAAAAGATATCTGGGCTGCGGCAGAGGTGCTCTGCAGCCCATAAAGGTGAGCTATAATTAGCAGACAGTGGTGAAAGGGGAGAGTTGCTCTCTAACCCATGCAGAGTGCTGTCTGATGCGCAGACAGGACTGGCGGGGGAAGCAAAGGTCAGACTGGGAGCTTTAGCCACGTGACTGCTGGATACTGGCTGAAGAGTCTGTGGACTTCCACCTGCCACTAGGGAGGGCACACCCTGCAGAGTCGAGTCCTCGGCAAGTTTGGCGCTGGGCGGTGCTGGCGTGGAGGGACTGGACGGAACAGCACCAGCCTTGGTTGGCTCACTGGAAGACAAGCTAGGCCCGAGTCTCTCGGTACAGATTTTCTTCTGCACTCCACTTGCTCCTTTTTCTTCTGGGCCAAGGGAAAGGCCCCTTTTGCCTGGATGTGGGGCTATTTTGGTGTAAGAATTTAGAATGGGCAAGTAGTTCCTGGAGTCGGACTTTTTCTCGCCAGTGTGACATGGACTGACAGGAGACGGTACAGGTGGATGAAGGAATAAGAGCTGTGGCTGTGCTGAGATCACTTCAAAGGAGGGCTGGACAGTCCACGACTGGAGCTGGGACGAGCTGCTGCCCTGAAGACAAAGGAGGAGAAGAGCACACTACTTATTACTGCTGAAAGGATAGAGGAGTGAAGCTTCTGTCAAAGGGGAAAGTGGATACTCAGACATTTAGAACAATTTCGAGGACAGAGCTTCCCTCACATACTGGCTTGAACATCTATTTGTGTCTGATATCACAAATACTTTTTTTTTCAACATTTCCTAAGGGAAAATGGGAGGAAATACCTATTTTTAGTCAAGTGTTATCACTCAGAAAAAGAAATAGGCAGGTAAAGTAATGACATAGCTAAGGTCACAACTAAAACAATAAAAATAGGGATTTCCTGGTGTAAGTTAAAATGTGACTTTACAACAAAGCGAATCTTCCTTTAGTTACACCTGGAATCCCTTTTACCTGAAAATAACTTTTGATTAAAACGTAACATATTGGGCTGGGCGTGGTGGGTCATGCCTGTAATCCCAGTATTTTGGGAGGCTGAGATTGACTTATCACCTGAGGTCAGGAGCTCAAGACCAGTCTAGCCAACATGTGAAGCTCTATGTCTACTAAAAATACAAAAAATTAGCTGGGTGTGGTGGTGTGCACCTGTAGTCCCAGCTACTCAGGAGGCTGATGCAGGAGAATTGCTTGAACCCAGGAGGCGGAGGTTGCCGTGAACTGAGATCGTACCACTGCACTCCAGCCTGGGCAACAGAGCAAGATTTGGTCTCAAAAACAAACAAACAAACAACAACAATAACAAAAACAGAAAAAAACCCCATATTGTCAGGAGTCTGTGGGTCCCTGTTTTTAAGGCAGTGACATCCACCGATCCTAAAACCATTCAAAATAATAATGATGTGTAGGTGCTGACTACAGGCTACCACTGTGTATAATATTTTATGTGAGTTACTTAATCCATATAACAATCTCATGAAGTAGTTACTATTTCCCTTCATAAATAGGAAACTGAGGCTTAGTTGAAATAACTTGTTTTAAGTCACCAAGTTACTAAGTGATGCAGTTAGGATTCCATCCTGTCTGACTCTAAAACCCATCTGAACCATTCTGCTATACTGCCTTTGTTTTATTACTCCTCAATTATACATTATTTTTAATTAAAGTATTGATTCAGATAAAATCTAATAAAGAAGAACATGGCTACTTGTCTCCAATGTTTGAAAGCCAATCCAGTTCCAACCTGGTCCCAAAAATTTGAGTATAGATGAGGCCAGGCAGAGGGCAAACCTGACAGAGGTTCATGTCCTCAGTGGGGTCAAATGGGGTCATTTGATTATCTGAAGAACATTACACACTGTCTTCCCATACATGTACATGTGCACACCATTTTCCACATTTCGGTTTCCTGGATGCAAGGTGATGAACTTTAGGCCCACTATAATTCATTTCTCATGCAAAGGCTGGAATGATCTGGAGCCCTCTTGATGTTCAAAGATACTCCAGGATATACCAAGGCAAGCAATGCTAGATCCAGAGAACATATTTCCTTGTCAAAGGATATCCAAAATCAAGAGGTCTTTTGAAGTAGAGATCAGCCTGTTCCAACTCAGTCAGAAGCAAAACTCCATGCCTTCTCTAGGGATGACCTACGAGGCAAATGGATCCGGAAAACATCTAATGCATTACTTTCCCATGATTTTACTGGACTGCACTTCCTAATGCTACTGTTATGCTCACTGACCTAACAGATATTTAGCTAATTTGTCCTAATTATTAGATTTTACAAATTGCATTATTCATGCTGAACTCATCTGAGGGAATACGGAACAAAATTGTAGACTTTGACAGGATCTCGGAATCATTTCACATAAAGCCTTCATATTAAAGATGAAGAAACTGATATCCATGGTGGTTAACAATGTACAAGATCACACTGTCTAGTGACAGAGATGGAATCAGACTCCCAAAAGAAAAACATCTAAAACCAAGCAGCAATAATCAAGACGTTACACAACATGCAGAGGGTTTTAAATGTGTATCATTATTTTAATTTTAGAATATGCTGGATTCTAGTCTGTTTTAAAAAAACTCCTAGACTCCTGTAATCCCAGCACTTTGGGAGGCCGAGACGGGTGGATCACGAGGTCGAGAGATCGAGACCATCCTGGTCAACATGGTGAAACCCCGTCTTTACTAAAAATACAAAAAATTAGCTGGGCACGGTGGTGCGTGCCTGTAATCCCAGCTACTCGGGAGGCTGAGGCAGGAGAATTGCCTGAACCCAGGAGGCGGAGGTCGCGGTGAGCCGAGATCGCGCCATTGCACTCCAGCCTGGGTAACAAGAACAAAACTCCGTCTCAAAAAAAAAAACCTCCTAGACTACTCCCTCAGGTCAGCCTGTCCCCAACTCTCTTAGCTCCAGATCAGGCCCAGCAGCCTTCTTGGTGGGTCTTTGTCCTGAAGAATGTGGCTCTGCTGGAAAAGCCTACTCACTCTGTAACTGTGTGTGGGCTGTTCTCAGCCTTCTGGAGCTGCCAGCCTAGCCTACAACAAAGAAGGGATATAAACACAGACACACAAGTAAGGGACAAGGAAGCCAGAGAGGAAGGCAGGGAGAAAAAGAACTGGGAGAAAGGAAGCCCAGGAGAAGCTCTGGTTGCACTGGTAGGGCCAGGGTCATCTCACATGGGCTCCATTTCCTGTCTCTATTCTTTTCCTTTCAGTAAGAGAGCCATGCTTCCAGCTGAGATGTGATTTACCAAGCAAAAATCTTCAAATTCTTTTTCAGAACTCACCAGGCTGCCTTGTTGAAATCAGTTTGTGTTCCTCAGACATAACTAGGTAATAGCTAAGACATTAAGATTTCCGGTCAGGTTAAAGCCACGTTCTAACCTTTTACCTACCGAAGAAAAGTCAACTACTCAAGCCAGATTTCAAATTTCATTATCTTCAGGTAGCCTCATCAACGGACCCCTATGAAAACTGATATATTTTCAAAGGAAAGTACACTAAGATTAAATTTCTTTGGCTGAAACCAACCTTTTCCATTCTCAGACTTCTCTATTCTAACTTAACCAAGTCTATATGATCAAGTTCTCAGTTTCAAACACTAGAGCTTAACTTAGATTTTCACCTCAATCTTTTCTTTCATATCTAAACAATAATCATATAATAAACATAGGTATGTAATAGGATGTAACCCAAACAGGATGTGTTTCCATTCCACAACAATGCTGTTGTTCCCATACCTGAACCAGGAGCAGCTTCATCCTCATGACGGCTCTTATTGACTACTAAGAAAATGCTCATCATATGCACAAAAAACCGGAAATTGCCTCTGTTATTTATTTTGAAGCAAATAAATGTATTCTACATCCCTAAATTCCCAGGGCAATTCATATTAAAAAGGGCTTCTTTTGTTTCTAACCTAAACTCTGCCATATGTTAGAATACACCACTGAAGTGATGCCATTTCTGTTTGGTTCCTTTATATACACTTCAGGGTCCCTTTGGACAAACTATGAATACAAAAATAAAACAACCTAACTGTCTCAAAGATGAGAACACACGTCATGATTCTTGCATTCCTTTTTAAAACAATGTCAGCACTTGAAAGATAATATCGCTCCCCAGGACAGAAAGTACACATTGATGTGGTTCTAGTGGTCTGTTTTGTTTCTAAAACCTATCCTTGGCAGAGAGAGTATAAATCTCTTCCTTTATACACAGGAAGCTCAGAAATTTTTATTTGCAAAGGCTTTAGGTGATATTAGTCCTCCTCACCTGTTTGACCAGCACATTCTTCATGACGACCATGGGAGATAGCGTTTGGAAGGCATTCTTTGCAGTTTTGGAGTTCTGCCTCGGCCTGTCTTCCCTGCTCCAGCCTAAGGCGCTCAGCATGTCCTCGGACTCCATCTGCTCTGCGGAACTCAGACATTCTGAGCTCCCATCTGGTGGGCAGAAGAATGGTCAATTCACTTAGGCTCTAGACAGGGGCTCTAAACCGGGCTCCTAAGGAGCTATGGACCCCTTGAAATTGAATGCAACACTTGTGATGTGTTTTTGTGAATTTTATTGAGAAGGAGGCTTTTAGCTTTCATTGGATTTTCAATGGGATCGGTAATTAATCCCTCCTCCCCCAAAGATTAAGACTCATTGCCCTAAGACAAGTTTGACTTCCTTTCTAACTCTCTCACAGACAAAAACCTGCCTCAGTTAGGGCTCACATGAAAGTAATCATCACCAGTCTACAGGAGAAATGAGTTCAAGGCTTCAAAGTTAGTTAATTACTTTCGAGAACCTGTTGTTGAGAAAGGAGATGGGTATGGCCCACGGTAGGATTAAGACCTTCAGAGGGTCTGGGTACCACAAGATGTAATTACAATAAAAAAAAAAAAAATCTGTAAACCTCAAAACTTACATCGATATTGAAATAAATTTATTTACGTATTTATTTAAGACAGAGTCTCATTCTGTCACCCAGGTTGCAGTGCAGTGGCATGATCTTGGCTCACTGCAACCTCTGCCTCCCGGGTTCAAGAGATTTTCCTGTCTCAGTTTCCCGAGTAGCGGGGATTACAGGCGTGCACCATCATATTCAGCTAATTTTTTGTATTTTTAGTAGAGACAGAGTTTCACCTTGTTGGCCAGGCTAGTCTTAAACTCCTGACCTTAGGTAATGCATCCACCTCAGCCTCCCAAAGTGCTGGGATTACCAGCGTGAGCCACCAGGCCCAGCCATCCACACTGAAATTTAAAAAGTGTCTTCCTAGATTTTCTAATTGTAAAATTCTGGATAAGTTCAAAGCTGAAATTTACTTGTTTCTTTTGTTGTCTGTCCCCAACCTCCCACTCCTTTTGCTGGTATCCTAAGTGCATGCTGAGTGTGCCTTTTGTTTGGGGATCCTGCACAATGGGTGATAGAAAGATGTTCTCCAAGGCAAAGAAAATAAGGTTGCTCTATGTAAATTTCATGCAAAAAGGATGTGCTTAGACACCTGCTGGAGTAAACTAAGAGACTGCTGTACCCTGCTATCCAGGAGTCTGGAAACAGCCTAAATGCACATCAAGAATCTCAAAGTCATCTGGATGAGGCAGAACTGAAATGTGACTGTCATTTATGTGAATGTACTGTCAACAATTACATTTTCTCCAGCTTAATGAAGACTGTATGACCAGAAGGATATGCATCAATGGAGATATTACTTAGAATCTCCAGTGACACTTTTCAAAAATTATGAATGTTGGGGTCCTTCCCTTGATCTACTGAAGTGATTTACCTGGTTCCATGGTAGGTATATTTTCACAAAACACAAGTAATCCAAATGTGCACCTCCAGTTAAGAACCATAAGACCAAAAACAAATGAGTCCAGATACAATGTACATATTGGGTGCCCAGAACTTGGTTTCTAAATGCCATTCTGCACGTAAAGGAAATGAGGGCTCCTTGGAGAAACAGCTGATTCTAAGACTTTGAAAGGGAAGGTATGAGATAAGCCTGGACAGCTTGTTGTCCCAGAAAGCAAAGAAGTACTCAAACATTAACAGAGACGTCAAAGAGACACAAAAGCTATCCTGAAGGGACTCCCACTGGCCAAATTTGAGACAATTTGAGTATCAGAAATAATGATTTTAATGGACTGACAAACTGAATTACAAAAGAATTCATGAATACATTAGTGATACTCAAAAAAGAGGGAGGAGGGAAAGCAGTTTTTACAGAAGAATGTCAGCTGATGATCTACAAAGAATGGTAAAATGAGAAGATCACCACTTTTAAACCACCAATGTACTGACTCAGGCAAGGATCATCAATGGATGCTAACTCTGGTAAACTTTGTTGGGAAATAGGATAGTCACACAATTACAAAGTATTGTCCCTAAATTACTTATTAATTACAAAGAGAAAAGAGTACTTTTATGATAAGTCTGGTATATACTATCTTAGCCAAGTGATCAACCAACCAGAGCATCACCACGAGTAAGACTTACTTACGAGTCTCCACATGTGCTGTAATGGAAAAAAACAAAGCATCAACAACACAGTATTTTAGTCAAGATGTTTATCTTGATCCTAATAATGGGGACACTACTAGAAAATCCAGAGTGTGAGACATTCTATAAAGCAACAGGCCTGACTCATTCAAAGATGTCAACGTCATAAAGAGGAAAGAAAAGAGGGGAAAGAAAAGATAGGGGAGTGGTTATAGACTAAACCAGACTAAAGGACAGAACAACTAAATGCAATGCTCAATCTTCAGCTGGATCCTGGATCCAAAACAGACAGACAAAAAGACAAAGAGCGCTAAAGGACATTATTGGGACAATGGGGTAAAATCTGAATACGGAGTGTAGCTAATAAGTATCAGAGTTAAATTTCTTAGGTATGATAATGATATTATAACTATATAGAAGAATGTCCTTGTTTTTAGGACATTTGTACTGAAGCTATTTGGGGGTAAAATGTCAGTTGTTTGCAATTTACTTTCAAATAGTTTGTGTGTGTCTATGTGTGTGTGTAGAGAGAAAGAGAGAAAGCATATATGGCAAAATGATAGATATATGGGGTTATGGAGTATTCATTTGCTTTTGTATAGGTTTGAAATACAAATGTGTAATTAAAATGGAAAAAAATTGTCTTGATTTTGCAAACTTCATCCTAAATCTAAGGTAACTTGGGCAGTGAGAAAATCACTGGCACCTGGCCCAAAAGTGGCTCGAAGCATTCCAATGGCATTCACTGGGTACTTTCTGGGGCATAATGAGTTTGACAATTTTAATACTACCTTATGTCTGAGTAGTACAATATTCTTAAAACAACTGGCCTGACAAAGTTGAAGTTGTCAGAAGTGTCAAAATGTCAACAGTACTGGAAATAATAGATGGCAGGATTGTGGATAATGTTTATTTTCTTCTTTGTGCCTTCCTAAATTTCTAAGCTTCTACAAAGAGCACATATTACCTTCATGAAATAAGAAACAGACAAAAAGCAAACATGATATTAAAAGAAAAAAAGAAACACTAGGCCTCCAATATTTCCCAAACCTGTCTGATCATACAACAGAAACACTTGTTTTTTAAAAAAACCCATATTCCAGGCCCTTTCCAGACTCCTGAAAGAGTCACCAGGAAAGGGGTTTGGTGATCAACAGTTTTAACAAATGCCTCAGGTGAGCCTTATGATGAGGTAGGGCTGGGAAACAATCCAAAGGGCTACAGGTTGGCCTGCTCTTCCCTGGGCTGTCCTGGCTCTGGGCAGGGCAACTAATTCTCTTAATCTAATCCCTTCGTCTTTAAGCAAGTCTATTTATAATTTGCCTTTTCAAGCAGCATGCCTACAGGGAGAAAATACGCCAATCTAAAGACAAGAGAGTTCTAGTTTTCCTAACAGCTGCATTTCTCACTATAATACATCAAAATGGACTGATTTTTCTTTGTGAGTCTGGATAATATAAATCTCCTTGAGAGGATCTACTCTCAGGATGTTGACTCAGCCAGAATCCCTCAGCATCACCCCTCTGCATCCCTGGGTCAAAAATCACACTATCACCATATTCAAGCCACTACCCTCAGACTGGGAAATAAAAAAATAGACACAGCATAAAATTCAAAGATTCAATGTATATGCAGCTAGCCCTTTTGGGTAAGGTTTAAGACAAACTTGTAAGGAAAATTGTTCTATTTTCTTATCGCTAATAGATACTCAAGTTTAGAACTCGGCCAGGTGGTTCAGAGTCCAAATACAAAATGCATACGGTCTCGGGGGAGGGGTAAGAGGTACTTTTCTAAACACAACAAAACACTCTTTCTCAATGAAAAAGTTATCTTACAAATTATATACAGTATTTAACTGGGAGTCTTCAAATTTGTTACATGTGACAATATGCAGTAGCATCTTCCCCCTACAATGTAATAATTCCTATGAAAAAGGCACTAAAACAACAGAATTATAAGTATTTAAATATATTTTTCTAGTAACCAGTTGCAATAGTTGGAAGTGTAAGATTCAGAGTCTAAGTTGAAAAAAGATGTCAAATAATACTTTCAGAACGAACCCTACAGTGACTTTGATGAATACCCTGACATATGGCATCAGAATTACCATGCTGAGGCATCAGGTAATTCTTTCTTCTGTGCATGAAAGCATCCCATCCTTATCACATAAATGAGTTTTGGGTAGGAAATTTTTCAGGCAAAGCATTCACTCCAAAACAGAGGAAGGACAAGATATTTTTAACCTGAAAAGCCAGAGTCCTTGTCTGACTCAGCAGCAGCCATCCCGAGCTGACGAGCCACTTTTTTCATCTCTGTGCTTTTGCCTACTTTGGTGGAGAGTCTTCTGGGGCTCTCTCTGGATGGGTTTTTCCTCTCCATGGTTTATTCGGCTGGAGGCAGATTCATTGGTACTCTTTGCATCTGGACTGCCCTATGAAAAACAATTACATAAGAAGTCACTACCTGGAGAGCTGAAACAGGTGATCCAAATAGTGAATATATGGGCAAAGAACACTGGCCTCACCCACTTCAGCTTTATTTTCTCAGAGGTCTCAAGTGACAAAAGTTTACTTAGAGTTTACTAAACAGAATGGTTTCCACCCAAAAGGAAATTCACAGTCCTCTGGCTGCCCTCTAATTCCATTACAAATTCAAGGCATACAAACCACATTCAGCATATGCTTTGTAAACTGCTAACAAAGGCACATTTGATTAGGCTTTTGGCAGTGGGTAACAAAATGAACTCACCAAAGGAGAGAGGGGACAGGGGAGTGAAGAGAAGGGAAAAGGAAGACGGGAGAAGGGAGAGGGCAGAAGGAAGGTGAGAAGGGAAAGGGAAGAGGAGAAGAGAGACACCACAAGCCTTGCTTTCCATGTGTACATTTGCAGGCTCATGACCTATTGCCAACTCCCATAGTGTAGTGTTTCTCAAATTAACCTCTAAATCCTTTGGCTGACATTGAACAGAGAGCAAAAACAACTCCCTATACATGCATGCTACTTTTGGGCTTAAAAAACACTTTTATGGGCAAATAAAATCATATATAATAAAGAGCTGATAATATGTGTTGCTATTAGTGTTATCTCACTTGGGCCTCACAATGTCATCTTCAGTTGCTGTCTCACTTTGCAGGGGAGGAAACCGAGGCTCAGATAAGTTACATTCAATCGTTTAGAAATATTTATCCAATCCCACTGTAAATCAGGCATGGTGTAAGGACTAGGGATACAGAGTGAACAGAATAGGTATCTGTCACTCCCTTCAAAGTGCTGGCCAAGGATAAGAATATCCCAGATATTTTAACATGGCCATTTGAGTCACCAAGGAATGGCAACTGTAAGGCTAGCATAAGAACACAAAGACCACCACAGGGATAAGGAGAACAGGCCAACAGGAAACATGACAATAATGAAACTGGGAAGATGCAAGCAAAGCCTTGTGATGTTCTAATTCACCATGCACTCCTGATTCTGTCCTGTTGTCCTTCTGAGTGAAGACAAACTCAAGCCCCCTGCCAAATGGCACTGTATCTGGAATACTCTGGAGTGCCAAGTCTGGATGGCTCTGCTGATATAAAATCTAGTGAAGAACATTAACTACCCTAGAAGCAGCAGAGGAAGGATTCAAAATAAAATTAAATAGAAGACAAGGATGCTTATAAGCAACCCTCTTGCTCATACTTTTGCATACTGTAGGAGGAGACTAAAGAGAACACAAACTGGACTGAATGAGAGTGAATTTTAAACACAATTCCAAGTTAAAATCATTTTTCCCCATATCTAATTCATTTAAGGGGACTGGCTTCCTCATTCAACTGACATCAAATCAAGTACTCTTCCACAGGTCACATATTTAATCCTATATGCATAAAAGATAAACAACAGCACTGTCACGTCTTGCAGAGAACTATGAAAAAGCAATGTCTATTTGACAGCTATGAAATTTGACATCATGGACAGCCCAGTTTAAAAAGTAGACTAAAGTATAAAACTATATCTCTAATTAAATCAGGATCCTTTTGTATGAAATTCAACAAACGTGCATAGTATAATTTTCCTAAAATAATACTGTCCGAAAGTGAATAGAAGCCTTTTCCAAAATGGAAGTAGATGAGGACTGTGGATGCCAGGCTGTTGATTTACATTAGGAGGGTGGCTCATGCTAGTTGCAACTAATTAAGAACCTTACTTAGGATCTTAGGTTCTTGAAGTTTCACAATATCTTCCTAAACATGGATTATTTTACAGGTACTTTAGACCATGCATCCCAATGTAGTCTTCTACAATCTTTGTGGCAAAGCAATGAAAAAAGTCTTGCTATTATTATTAAAGTGTAGTCAGTGGAACTACAGAAAATACACAGGAATTTATTCTGGCTTATTGAGAATTTGTAGAACAGATAATTGATCATGGAGTCAAAATACTAAAACATTGACAAATCAGTTGCTGACGCTCAGAAAACAATACTCCAAAGTATGGCACTTTAGCAATAACGAGTGCTTTGTTGTCGTTTTTTGTCTTATCTGAAACTGTGTCTTGCTCTGTCGCCCACGCTGGAGTACAAGGCCACAAACATGGCTCACTGCAGCCTCAGCTTCCTGGAGAAGAAATTACCTGACCTCTCTTGTCTGATAGTAGATCAGAAAACCATCATTCTAGAACGGCTCCTGCCCCGATAACAGAGAGGAAGGAATGCTACACAGAGGTCAAGAATAATTCTGGACGGACAGATCTTGCTGGGTTTCCCACCTCAGTCCGTTACTATTAGATCACACTCTTTTTGTTTGGTTGATTTTTCTTTTGTTTTGTTCTTTATTTATAGATGCGTCACATGTTGTTGCTCAGGCTGGAGTGCAGTGGCACGATCACGGCTAACTGCAGACTCCACCTCCTGGATTCAAGTGATCCCTCCCTTAGCCTCACGAGTAGCGGGACTCCAGGTGTATACCACCACACCCAGCTAATTTTTAAATTTTTTGTAGAGAGTAGGTCTTGCTATGTTGTCCAAGCTGGTCTCGACCTCCTGGGTTCAAGCAATCCTCCCACCTCAGCATCCCAAAGTGCTAGGATAACAGGTGTAAGCCACTCTGCCCAGCCAGATCATACCTTTTTTGTCCAATATTTCTACATGGCCTTACATTCTTCATCAAACCTAAGCATAAAAATAGTTTTCCCTGAGTTTGGGAGATTTCAATTCTAAAGACTCCTGTGTCATAAGAAAACTTGGATTAAACAAAACTGTTATGTTTCCTCTTGTTAACCTGTCTTTTGTTATGGGAGGGTCAACAGTGACCCTTATGGTAGGCGAGGAAAGGTATTGCAGAGGTAAGTTAAAAACAGAACAGATACTAAACTTAGATCCTGGGGATCTGGTGGCAGCTGGAAAGAAAGAACGCAAAGTGGACTTTAGGATGACAAATTGACTATTTTGGATATAAAAATGATTAAAAATATGAAAGCCTCTGTCTTCAGTAAAGCTCTCTTAAGCAACAAGAAGCCTTAGCACTGCAGCCGGGGAGGCTCACGTGGGATGTGGAACAAATGGCTACATCCCTCCCCAGACTTTCTTTCTTCGGAGGAGCAGCACTGCCCTCCTGGGAGTGGCTGAGGGACCCACTCACACACAGCACCACATAAAGCCCTTAACAGGAGAGAAGCAGAGAGTGATGGCATTTACTACTGGTGCTCTCAACCCCAAAGTTTGCAAGGCAAAGTCTGAAAACCTCAAGAAGTTGCTTGATTTTTTTCCTTCTAGATATTAGTTTACAATAAAGTTAGATGCTCACACACTGACTAGGAGTTGAAAATGGGTTACTAAGCTCTTAACCACTGTGTTCTTTCTGCTTCCTGGCACAGACTGGAAATCACTCACACAGCTTTACAAATGCATGTACCTTACTCTGCATTAGAAAGGCTAATTTAAGCTCCAAAACTGTCAGAATTTACCCTAATTGGGCCTCTTATGCATGTATATGTAACACATTGCCCAAAAGTTTCCCAGAGAGGATAGTACACACTAAAACTCATAATGGAAAGTGAATCAGCTGGGTGCGGCACCAGTAATCCCAGCACTTTGGGAGGCCAAGGCGCATGCATCACCTAAGGTCAGGAGTTTGAGACCAGCCTGGCCAACATGGTGAAAGTGTGTCTCTACTAAAAATACAAAATTAGCTGGCTGTGGTGGCACATGTCTATAATCCCAGCTACTTGAGAAGGTGAGGCAGGAGAATCACTTGAACCCAGGAGGTGGAGGTTGCAGTGAGGCGAGATGTCGCCACTGCACTCCAACCTGGGGGACAGAGTGAGACTCAGTCTTAAAAAAACAAAAAAACCCAAAGTGAATCAGAGCTGGGCAAGGTGGCTCATGTCTGTAATCCCAGCAGCACTTTGGGAGGCCAAGGCAGGTACATCACCTGAGGTCAGGAGTTCTAGACCAGCCTGGCCAATATGGTGTAATCCTGTCTCTACTAAAAATACAAAAATTAGCTGGGCGTGGTGGTGTGTGCCTGTAATCCCAGCTACTCAGGAGGCTGAGGCACGAGAACTGCTTAGGTCTCGGAGGAGTGGAGATTGTAGTAAGCCAAGATTGTGCTTCTGCACTCCAGCCTGGGTGACAGAGTGTGACTCAGTCTCAAAAAAAAAAAAACCAAAAAAAAAAAAACAGTGAATCAATAAATATATTGGTTTATATAAGGAGACAAAACTAAAAATTCTAGCAAGTGCTCCAAAGCACTTAGCTCTTACTCTTTTTGCACTTCTGACATTAGTCTAATTATTTTTCTCCTCAACCTCGAGTTTTTTTTCCCCCCCAACCCCCAACAATTAACATAAGGCATTCAACAGAGTAATAAATTCCAACAAATGGCTGACCTGCTGTCTCTCTGACAGCTCTAGTAGCTTAGCAGTCATGGAAATACCTGAACAGCCTGAAGGTCAAGATTCTGCATTTCCAAACACCATGGTCACCTTAAGAGCTAACCTCCATGTCTGGTCCCCTGCAGGAAACAGATATTTGATCTATCCCTTATGCTAAGATGAAACCTCAGGGACAAATCCAACATCCGAATTAAAGGTTGGTCTAATCCACAAACAATCTTTGTGGAGATTTGTCCTTATGATTAAAAAGGAGATCCAAGGGTTACAAGAAAAGGATCTGAAATGCTGCTTTCAGATCTCTCCTTTTATAGACACTTGGCAACATTCCTGGGAGCTCGAGTTCCCTTTAA